TCGGTGGTGAGAGAGAGATCGGTGGTGGAGAGACAAGAACGCGGCGTTTCGTGGTCGGACATAAATGGTGTGCATCAGACGGTAACAGTAATGGCGACAACGGTAGCAGAGCAACAAGTAATACAGTGGTCGGAATACAGTGTGGAAGTAGAGACTCCGAAATGCATCGAACTCGATCAGGCCGACAGTGACAACGGATCCGCTCTAGGTCGGACTTCCCGGCCGTGTGTGTGCGTGCGGGCTGTCGTCGATCGATTTCGCGAACGAACGGCTTGGTGATCGAGACGCGTCGTTCTCTGGCGTTTTTTAAATCCTTCGATCACCGAGGAGCCAACGTTTCGCCGTTCGACAACACTCGAAACAAAAAAAAAGAAACGGAAACAACACACGGCGACAGCTTGGAGAAAGAATATCGAAAGCAATCGTGAAGCGTGTTCTGACATCGGCGGTGGAGAAGAGGTGGGGGATGGGGCGGTGCTGTTCTAAAAAAAAAAAAATTGTGACGAGGAAGGAAAAACGAGCGATCGAGCGTACGAAACGTTGATTCCAAAAACTAGGGTAGAGAGTCGTGATATCGGGGGGAGCTGGCTTCGGTTAAAGTGTTTCCGTGTCACACGGGGCTCTTACTCGACGTTAGTGCCATCCAACAAAACATTATTAAGACATACTTCATCCCGCTCTTTCGGCAAATCCCGTGTACAGATTATACTGACCGTGACGCTGTAGGACGAGACGTAGGGCCTCGTGTACGGCCGCCGGGTCGTGTAGAAGTCGCTCTCGTAAACCATTTTCTCCTGGATCGCTGATGCTCCCTTCTCGTCTCTACTGTTCGTTCTTCTGCTCGAAGGCAAGTGGTGGCGTTCGATCGTTCGTCGAATGAATTTTTGGTGATTAATGCGATTGCGGTGTCTAGCTGCTAGCGGGTACTAGTGGTGGTAACAACACAACGTGCACACCAGGGTGAAAGAGATCCGCAACTGCGGCCGCGGTGGAGGTTCGTACGGTTCTGTCCGGTAGCCGAAACTCTTCTTCGACTTCTACCGCGATCGCTTCTCAGCCCCACCTCGGTGTCCCTCTCTTTCTTTTAGCCCGAGAGCGCGAGAGATCGCGCGGTGTGTGCAAGCTCCGCTTGTATCGCGTCCCGCGCCTCCGCCGAGGGGGAGAGAGACACCTCGGAGAACATCACCGAGATTCGATTGCATCACCTCCGACGTAGAACGCGGCCTGCTGCCTGATGCATCGAAAGAAATAGAATCGTGTTAAGGTTGCTGCTGGCCGCCCTCTTTCATCGGCTTCCCACGATCCTCACCTTTTGATTCACGGTCCCTTCTGGTCCTCGAGCTTCGAGGATCCTCGCCGAACGCGCGTCTTTCTCCGCGTCGTAACGTCGAACGAAACCACGTGTTCCGTCCTTCAACGAAATTTTCGTGCCGCATCCATCTAACTTTCTCCGGGACGAATGATCTTTTCCTTTTATCCCTAAAAAACCGTTATCAACGAGAAATCTTCGGCTCGGCGAGACAAATTGACAGTCCTTCAACGAACGACGTGCAATCAACAGAGGGTCACGTTCGTTGGACTTTCAATTTCGTAAATCCATAGTCTTCTACCTTGCCATTTCTAAATTGATCACTTTCGAGCCATATTCTTTCCGGCAATAAAGCCATTTCTGCTTTTGAACAATGCACACCTTCGTCGGCGGAAATTTGTATGACAGGGTCGCTAGCATGCACCGCTTCCAGGGTTTCTTGCTACCCACTGCGTGCTACGTCACTCTGTATCTCCTTCCATCGCGTCACTGATCAACGAATTTCGAGTCTTCTATATATCCACGAAACTGTGTAAAAACTCGAAACCGATTCTTCTCTAGATCAGTTGTCACTTGTCAATTCATCGTCAATTAGTCTTTAGTCATTCGTCCGTCATCGATCAGTCAGTGTCAGTTCAGCTCAATTCATTTTAAACCAAATACAATTAGTCACCTAAGTGTTCAAACCGTTTGAACATCAACGTATCATCCGTATCGCTCGAAAGAGTCATACGGAATCACGCAGACTCGGTGTCATATCAATTTGAATCGAAGACTTACGACTTGATCTCACCGAGAAAACGTGAAAAAACACCACGAAACTGCTCCGTTTTCGAATATTCTCAGGGCGCGAAGACATTCGGATTTTACAGGAATCGTCGCGAGAGAAATCGAGAGAACCGAGCGTCCGTTTATGGTTCCACCCGGTGGCAGATCTCGCAATTCCTCGGCACCCCGCCTTCGTTTTTATTTTAAAACGATACACCATCGTTTCGACGCCGGCGAACCGTGTCAAGGTGCTGGAAGAAGTCGTCGAGCAACGAATGTGCTTGAAAGAAAATGATCGCCGTCCGCGATTGGCTTTTATTTTCGCAACCGATACGCTCGGCCCCCTTGCACACCGTGACCTTGCGCGCGACTCCATGCACCGATACACCCCTAAATATCGCTATAAGCTATTTCGATCGCGAACGCGTAACGTACGGCGTTGCTGCGCGTTCGGGCATGACCGAGCATCTGGTGTTTTTTAGTTTCTCCAAATGACAGAACGTAATCACACCGACGTCAGAATTGTTTATTTAACGATAACAATAGACCGGACCCGCGTCCCAATCGACGCCTGTTCCGCAGCGGATGTCAGGCTGGCAGCCCTCCAGCGATTTAGGCTAAATTCTGCGGTTGGAACCGATCCTGCTTCTTTGTTGCAAAAACATTAATGAACCCCTACAGTTCCGGGGTGACGGCGACCCGCTGTTCTTGCGAACAGCTCATTTATCCCTGCCCGATCGGGAATTCAAGTGTCATTGGAAATTGATAAATTGCCAAAGGGGAGGGCTTGTCCGCGCGGATCCATGGAATAAAATTTGTCTCCTTGATCGGGGACAATTGTTGCTTCGAATTGGACAGTTCGAACGTTCGAAATTCAATGGCCGCGACATGAATACTCATGAACTCTCGTGGAAAGATCTAATTCGCCCGAAAGAACAGCGGCAACAACTCGAACGGATATTTTTGTAGTCTGCCAAGTCGAAGGCTATAAATCTTATGGAAGCGGACCGGAATCTATTCACGTCGTTCGGGGCTGTAATAAGGAATGATGGGCTATTAGAAATTCGTGCATTCGTCTTCTAATATATCGGTCTGCTCATTATCGCCGCGCGAGGACAATCCACTAAAATCCAAGATATTCGTCTCCACGTCCATGTGAACGTAATTTAAAGTCGATGAAAAATGCATTCAGCGGAAACATTTTTTATTCAAGTTCAGGCGAATAATAATCATTTTTGCTACAAGCTTGTTACCGTATTTTTAATAAATCGCGGTACGCGCTGGTTTTCTACTTCCTTTAACGTTTCTATATATCGACTCGAATGGGAATAAAACCTTTATCGAATTGCATATTAAATAGACTGCGGATTCTCATGTATTTACGTCAGAAATTGGTAAATCTTTCAAAACCGTGAAAAGATTAGACGTGTATAAGAATATCAACGTACCATTTTCCACTGATTAAGGTTATTAAACATTTATTTTCATCGTCTGTTTCTTACGATAGAGACAGACACTTTTTTATTTTGCATGAGGATCCGCAGTCTAATAATACATCAAGTATCACGGGTACTTATAACTAATGTTTCCTTTTAGATCGAATAAAAATTGTCTTCTCATTTTACAACTGGAAGTCTGCCTAAGAAATGGAAGAAGACATGTAATCTGTAACGATGGGGATTAGTCTGTAGATTAATCTGTTCTACATGCTAAATAAAATAAAATTATATATAAAAAATGGTATTATTTCTAAATATTCCTGACAATGAATCAAGATCTCTCTCAACAATAATATCTTAATGAAGAAGTGACAAGTATTGATAAACACGAGAACAGTCGATTAATGTTTAACAAATAAATTGATTTATTCAAATATGAAAGGTCGAATTTCAACGAGCTGGTTTTTCGAAACTCGAATAACCGAGAATGGCCATCCGTCGGTAATGCAGTCCTGAATCATGTCCGCACGTTTCGGGCTGTGATCGTAGATAGCGTAAGCCAAGGCGGGGGCAACCGGCTTAGAATTATGAAGCAAGTAGAGAAACTGCTTCTCGTCCGATTGATTGAGGCTCCACAGCTAAACGTGAAAAAGTCCCATTAAAAAATAGTGAAAAATGAAGCAGTAACACATTGCGTTATTACTTGTACTTTTAGGTACGGCTGAATTCTGCGCGAGGCTATTTCTCTGGATGGCAGAGTCTGATATGTACTGTACAGAGTCCTCAGGCCATTCGAAGCAACTTTTTCCTTTACAAAAATCTTCTCCAAGGCACCGTTAACGAGTTATTAACGAAAAACAGTGACCAATGAGAGGCGTGCTCGGCTGGCGGCGAGGCGATCGAGCCAATGAGCGGAACTGGGCTTCGCGCGCTGGTTGACTGGGCCGCCTCGCGTCAGCCGTACTCGATTCTTATCGGTCACTGTTTTTCGTTAATAACTCGTTAACGGTGCCTCGGAGAAAATTTTTGTAAAGGAAGAAGTTGCTTCCAATGATCCGAGGAACCCGCTATTTCCGGATTGCGAGACATTTTTAGGACACCCTGTAGATTGTTGTAAATCGATGCGAAGACAAAAGAAGTGTGAAACAATGCATATGAAGACGATTATTTGGTTCAAACGATGAGCGAGCGAGCTACTAGAGCAAGCCACTATAGTGGCATGTCGTTCAGAGAGATCACATCCGCGAAAGCCACTATAGTGACGTGTCGTGCCTAAAAGGTTAATCGAGCGCGCAGCTAGCACACCGAGCCTGGCACGTAGATGTGCATCGACCCTAAAGTGAGACGGCCTAGGTTTGTCGCCGCGTGAACACATGTACAGAGTCCGTTAGTTTCGTTCTGTCCCTCTCCTATCGTCCCGCGTTCTCTTTCTAAACCAACTGCGCAGACCTGGATGCGTATTAAAGTGGTGGGGGTAAAAGCGCTCGGAATGAAGAGGTAGAAATCGCTCGCTATGAAGCATTACTGTATGGCGAGGCAGTACTGTATCTTCTTCGCAAGTTTACTCAAGCAGTTCGCGCGAAGGCAAGAGCTTGAAAATATGTGCAGTCGGACCGTGGTCAATCGGAAAGAGATCGTGTCGTTTTAATAAGAAGCATTCGGCGTTTGATGGTTGTGATGTGTATCGAATGACAGGGAGCGCACGTGTTGCGATTCACAGCTGTTATTCCGGGAGAGTAAACAGAGAGAGTTCTGGTCCTCGGATCGCCCGAGACTCGAAAATGTCTGTGACCGAGGAACGAATTCAAGAACTAAATAAACGGTTCTTGGACTTCATGAGCAAAAACGAAAATGTGGAGTCGGCTACGAAAGAGATCTATGACGACCTCCTCGATGAAGTTCTGATGGGTTTTGTTTTCGATGTGCATCGCACCACGAAAACTGGTAGTTCGGACGTCGAAGAAGGCATACCCGACGACGAGTCTTATGCCATCGTAGGTAAGCGAAGCAAAAAAAGTATTTTCTGATGAATGTTCTCGCATGTCGGAGTACCGTTATTACTCAGGTTATGTTCGTTTATTGTAGATTCGCCCGGGTTGGACGTGTTCGGGCAGCACCCCGTGAAAAAGTCCCAAGAATGCAATTGCCCGAATTGCGACCGAGGAGTCGCAGCTTGTCGTTTCGCAACACATTTGGAAAAATGCATGGGCATGGGACGGAACAGCTCGAGAATCGCGTCGAGACGCATAGCCAACAACTCGAAGGATCTCAGTAATTTCAGCGGCGTGATAAGCGACGACGACGACGACGTTGACTGGAGCCTGACCAATGACAAACGCAAACGCAGGAAAGACCGGAACGGTATTAAGCGAGCGAAGCAACAGAAGAACAATCAGAGAAATGGGGACAACATGAACGAACATGTTCACAGTAGCAATGAAAACTCCCCGTCTAATTACGAGAACATGTCATTGGAAGACAAAAGGATTCTGTTGACTCAGATTTGTGGAGTGATATCGGAACATACCAAAAAGTTGTGCACCAGATCGATGCGTTGCCCGCAACACACAGAGGACCAGAGGAAAGAGATGAGGGCGAACTTAGAAACCAATGCTCAAACGGGTCAGGATAATCTTCACGTAGACGTAGATACTTACGAGGAAAACGATGGACAAAATCTAAGAGAGGCATTGGCACGTTGGGATCGAGAAGGCTCTAGTCATTCGAGTCCTGCTGATTCTACGTCTACTACGTCTACGTCTTCGATTAGTAGAAAACGTGAAACAAAGACGAAGGGCAAAGGCAAGGGATCGAAACGTGACCGTGGATCACCCATTTCACAAGGCGACTAAAATAAATAGCGTATTTATTTATTTTTTAACCATATAAGCTGACTAACAAAGACGGTTTATCTAATAATAATGTTCCTATGCTTGTACAAAGCTTCCAAAATACATTGTTCAACCCAAAATGTATCTAAAACGGTAACACACCTTTTTTGTGTTTCATTTTTCATTGTTATATAATAAACGGAATAAACCGTACATATTTTGCAATTGTGATTGAGGAGTATGTATAGAGACAAATACAAAGAAATCAAGAAAATTGTCATGGATTCTTTTTTTCAAGGAAACCCGCCCGTTTTACAAATTCCTATAATTAAAGTTTATTCTGATTTTTTCAACAAGAACTTCTGGATGCACACAGCAACGTTATCCACATTGCGATAATCGTCTGCATTAAATCTGTTCCCGAAAGAATTTTTGTTCAGAATATGGAATGAATTTTAGCAATTTTAGAATCAGAAGAATTTGTTTTTTTTGGGTACAGAAATATTCAAGAGACTTTTCTGCACCTATGTTATGCCAAAAACATTTATTTATTATCGCAATCATAGAAGCTTTCGCCTGACGTGAATCATCTGTTCCTGGAGGCTTAAAAATCGCGCTATTTATGCGCGCTCTTATGGTGAAATCGAAAAGCTCAGTTTAGGGGTTCGTACAGCGCCAATTAGTGTAGCGACAAAACACTCAAACTATTAGCCATATGATATCGGCAGTGTGTTATACTAGCGATGATAGTTCCTCTTATGGCGAAATCTAAAAGCTTTATCAGATATCTGTACAGCGCCAAACGTTCGCTAAATTGTTAACTAAAATCAACTGTTGGTAATGGTAAATCGCTGTCTCGCCACTTTGATACAAAAGCGTTATTGTCATATTTTAAAAAGCAAATTGTCGTTATATTTTTTTTCAACAATAAAGCTTTTCTGCATGATGGAGATGTAAGAGAGTCTCCTAAACTTTTCTGAACACATATTCTCCTTACTATAAGAACCGTTCGTAGCTGTAAGGTTATTTGAGGTTTTTATAATGTAATATGGATGCAGAACACTTTTCTAAGCATTCCTGTGCCCACAAGATATTTCTTTAATTCCCAGACTAGAATTCATTCGATATTGTGTACATAAATTCTACGAGCAAGAGGACAGTTTTAGTTCAGGCGTTTGTCGTTATGTGGCGATACTATTCCGTTGCCCATAAACGGATTATTTAAAAATAAAATAATCAGCAATATGACAATCTAAGATATAACATCGTTGTACAGGATCATTATGAATAATTTGAGACCAAGAATGTTGAATTGGATCTATTGATTCACGAGTTATTTAATTTCTCAAATAATGTTCGTCTATTCGTATCGCACAATGCATGATCGTCGGAAAACAAATTATGGCATAATTAGGACAAAAGAAAATTAACCAAATACTCAGAATTGTTCAGAAGAATCTGTTGTATCGATTTCATGTGGAAAAAGCCAATTGCAACACCGCAAAATATACTTAATTAACGTAATAGTTAATCAAACTTCAGAAAGCAATTAATTATATTTTACAGTGTTGTCATCTGCTTTTTTTATACGATATCGATGCAGTACATTCTTCTGAACAATGCTGGGTCTCTGGTTTATATTCTAATGTTTTACTTTTGCCATAATTAATATTTTGTAGCGACCTTATATTCTGGATACAGGAGAGATTTAGTTCGGGCGTCCACCGCTACGTGGTGATCGTGTTTCGTGACTCCGAAGGCAGCTTTGTTCTGCTGTAATTTTCGTTACACATAAATTCGATTGAACAGATATTAAAATAATTTCAGTAACGTATCCGAGTAGCATACGTTTCTGAACAATAAAATCGTTCGAAATACGCTGAATTTAGATTTACGTGTTTGTTTCTATGCTTCCATAATTTTCTAATTTTCCCTAGATCCATAACTGTCCGCGTTACCTGTCATGAGTATCGGATTTTAGGCACACAGGATGGGCATTGTACAGTGAATCAGTGTACATATGTACAAAGGGGAAATGTGTATTTCAAGATAAATGTGAAGCACCGTCTAATAGCTCAGCGGGATAGTTCTGGACTGTTAGATGTTGTTTACATTCTTTTTTATTTTGTTTCGGAATACTCGAAGTTAGTCAGTTGCGGTGTTTTAAGAGTATGAGCTACAATTTTAACCTTTAGTGACAGTTGGACGGTTGTAGGTAATTATGTCATTTTTCGAAATTCGCTTTTCGTTTCTACACAGCAACTGTGCAACGAATTTTTCGCGAATCCGTGAAATCATATGATATGTATATTACCGTAACAAGCACGAAAGGGTTGCGATTGCTTCGATCTGTCCAAACGAAAGAGTCTATCATGTGATTGTAGGTTAAGAGCGAAGTAAGCGCGCACATGATTCACACGACAAACAATATTTGATTTGAACTGTCAAATTCAAGAGTAAAGTGAACGAATCGACGGTGTTTCTTTATTAACTTTCGTTAATAGTAAAGTACCAATCTATCTATGCTCGCGTTTTTTGTTTGCTCGATTTCGCTGGACCAAATCCACATATTGCACAAATTTTTAATGAAGCGGTTGGATCAATCATTGTTTCTTACAGCTGTTGTAGATACTCCAGAGAATTTTCAACATGCAGACAATAAAGTGTGTCGTAGTCGGCGACGGAGCTGTGGGTAAAACGTGTCTTCTGATCTCGTATACGACCAATAAATTTCCATCCGAATATGTGCCCACAGTTTTTGACAATTATGCGGTTACGGTAATGATAGGAGGAGATCCGTACACTTTGGGATTATTCGATACGGCTGGTAAGCTTTATTGTAATTTTAAACTATTCGAAGATATCGATACGACGCAATGTTACAGGTCAGGAAGATTACGACAGGCTGAGACCACTGAGTTATCCTCAGACAGACGTATTTCTCGTCTGCTTTTCCGTAGTGTCGCCTTCGTCGTTCGAAAACGTTAAGGAAAAGGTTGAATATTATCCAAAAATATGTGTTCTAAAGAAGGAAGCGGAAGAGCATTTGTTACATGATTGTTCTGCTTCAGTGGGTGCCGGAAATCACGCATCATTGTCCGAGGACTCCGTTCCTACTCGTCGGTACCCAGATCGATTTGAGGGATGACGGTACCACCACCGAGAAATTGGCAAAGAATAAACAAAAGCCGATATCGGCGGAGCAAGGGGAGAAGCTTGCCAAAGAATTGAAAGCGGTGAAGTACGTGGAATGCAGTGCCCTTACGCAAGTAAATGCATTCCCGATCATTCGTCTATTTTTAAACGCGTTCCCGGTTTCAAGAGCGCAACGAAACACTGACCGAAAACGATGTTAACTTTACAGAAAGGCTTGAAGAACGTGTTCGACGAAGCCATACTAGCTGCCCTCGAACCTCCGGAGCCAGTCAAGAAAAGGAAGTGCGCGCTCTTATAAAAAGGGTATTTATTTTGAGAGCGACGCATGTCCGAAAGGGAAACTATGTTCTATTCAACGATAGCGAGCGGCGAATCTAACGCGTAGTATAATGCACTGTTAGAAAATCGAGACTGTGCTCTTTTACGGTTCCTTTCTCGAGGGGAGGGGAAAAAAAAGAAAGAAACATCGATCGCCGAGAAGAAAAGCAAAAAACAGCCGCTAACATCAACGCGACAATTCCAATCGAGTCTAATCGAATGTATCTATATTGCCACGTTACGATCGCGATCACATTCCACGCAGCGCGGGTAATCCAGCTTGAAATTTCGATCGGGTACTTCAATTCAATCGTACTGCACAAAAATTTTCTAATTTTTTAAATTGCGCGAATACCGTAATCGTCGCTATCGATCGAATTTACAAAAAAAGAAAAGAAACGATAAAACTCATCGATGGGATCGGTATCGTTCAAAATTGCATCGATACTCTTATCGCAACGATTGGTGCTACCGCTACGAATAGCGTTGTTTCTCGTGTTTCTAGTAATCGGGGATCAAACGAATCGCAGAGCGTTCGTTGGGGTTTTCGGTCGTGGAGTCAGCCAGTTTTTCGGGAGTAAAAATGTAAAACAATCGGAACGTTCCTTTCCAGTGTAAATGGATGAAATTGTTTGGAAGCGAGACACCAGTATTAGAGATCGAGCGATTGACGTATAAACACACGATATATCGTAGATACATGGTTTATAGATACGTACGTATATCTCAGACTGCATATAACGAAGCGAACGACCGAAACACGTTTAACTAGCGTACAGATATTTTCGAGTCTGCTGCCCCACCGATTCGATTAACGAAAATTGTAGACGGCAGCTATAATGCCCGGGAGGAAACAAGCGTCTTGCTCTCGAAGAATTTTTGGCATCTGATTTTGTACATATCAGCGTCTGCCTCGGCACGCGGTCCGCCACAGATCGACCGATCGGATCGACACGCATTTATACATACTTACTTGGTCGGTAAGATTCGAGCGAGAATCGATTTTGGCGGCACAGGTACAGAGGCACGGACGGTGCTATCCTCGCGGAAGATCAAAACCGTCGCGTCTATTCGCGTCGCAGTCGGCGAGTTCAATAGGAACGACCAAAGAAGCGAACGCTTCTGGCTGGTCGGTACGATTACGTATTATTTATTGAGCGACCGTCGTATTATTTGTTAACCGAATATTCACCGCCTAATGGTTTTCTCACAAACTTGTTTGAATGTTACGTGAACTGGATATTCACGGGAACGGGCAAGACCAGCCGCTTTCCGCTAGATCGAGCGGCGGGATCAACGATCGTCTCGCACGTATCCAGTTGAGAGAAAGAAAGAGAGAAAAAGAGAGAGAGAGAGAGAGGTGGCATTTAGTAGCATGTACGTGTCGCGCTATGTAGACACAAACATATAACGAAATATTCACATAAATATATTTATACTATGCATCAAGTGGTAATGTTCCTCGCGAGCTCCGAATTTCTCGCGTTCTCGTCCCGTCTCCATCGTTCCCTCTCGCGTCCGCAAAATAATTAGGATATGTAACAAGTCCGTTCGCGGAGCCCCGGGCACCCACGAAAATACAAGGAAAATTACACGAATTCGAAGCGATGGTTCAGATGAATTTTGGGATATGTTCTCGCGAGGCCATTTCTATGAAACTTAGCTTAAACGAAAGCTAGAAGTGTCTACTTTCAGACAGGGTAGATTATATTGCAATAGAACGACGAGATCATTTCGAACAAATTAAAAATAATCGACCGTTGACATCATCGGGTTTGCGAGATTCAAAAGGAAAAGTCCAGATGGATTTTAAGATACGTTCCCGTAGAGGTATTTCTACGTTGTTTAGCTTAAATGAAAGATGGAAGTGTCCACTTTAAAACAAGGGTAGATCAGGCTGAAATTGTACAAGTTCGTTCGCGTTGATCACTTCACGGTATTATATTGGGTCGGCGACTAAGTAATTGCCGGTTTGTTCAATGAAATAAAAAATTCTTTTTACTTGGAACGAAGTTTAATCTGTAATGTATTTTCCATTTTGTTCGATGACCTTTCGCCATCTCTCTGACAACTTGAAAATTCCACGCTCGTAGAAAGTCCGATCCTTTTCGGCCAAAAACTGAGTTAAGCGAGATTTTACAGCATCGTCGTCGTTACAAGTTTTACCACGAAGGGAGTTGTCCAGGGATCGAAACAAGTGGTAATCCGATGGCGCGAGATCAGGGCTATATGGTGGGTGTAACAATTCTGGTCGCTTTTCCTTGACCGCTGCATTCAATTTGTCCAGTTGCTAACATTCACGGATAATAAAAAATAACATAATAATAATAATAATAATTTTATAATATAACATTTGCGGATATCATAAAAATGGGAGTGAGAGACGTCTATAACTGAAATCGGCAATTATTTACTTGCCAATCCAATAAATGCCTGTACAGTTCCCGTAGCTTGCAATAAACGCGGACAATTTGTACATCGCATAAAAATCATCCGCGGTCTATCCGCGAATTATACAAAAATCCCGAGTGTTTCTGTTCCATCGGAAATCGTCGGCAGACAGGATCGGGGCTCAGTTTTTTTCTCGTTTGTCATACGAATTGTCTCTGTACTGTTATATCTCTGACACGCACTGTAACCGAAGATGTACCCCATAGATGTATGGGGTACATCTATAATATATGGGGTATATATGGGGTATACCTATAACTGAAATCGGCAATTATTTACTTGCCAACCCAATATTTTCTTGCAAAAAAACGCGAACGAACTTATTATACAACCCGATACATAATCGGCGTATCTCCTGGGCAGAAAGAACGAAAGAATTCGACGCCGATGCGCTGGAATCGGCACGTGCGAACGGAAACGCGAGGTGCGGAGAGAAACGGACAGATACAGGAGGAAGCCGTCGAACGGTAGACGTAGTTTGCTCAATCGCGCTCCTTCCGGCGCTCTTTTACCTCCTCGATTCTTCGACCGTTCCGATATTCGATTCTTTTCCGCGTTTCCTTCCCTGCTACACCCCCCATCCCCCGTCCTCCTATGACCGCCGCTCTCTCTTTCTCTCTGCACTGGCCATTTTCCTTTTCCCTCCGTCGCTCCTCTCTCCCACGTTTCCAACCATTTCGTTTCCTCGATTGCATCGGCGTGTAACGTGGCGCGGTGCGCCTTGTGGTTACTTCAATTAGGTGGATTCGTGGTTACGTATCGACGTACTGGAGCGAGTTAACCACGCCGACACAGAGGGGTACGCCGGTCACGGACTCATCACGGACGTGCCTCCGGACTCCCTTGACATTATCGCTAATCATCTCGAATCGATTCTTGCATCCACAAGAAACGAAACTTGCGAGCCGCGCTCGGCCGTAGTGCTACACGCTCCCGTATCGTCTCGTTTCTCGCTCGAAGCGAAATAACTTCTTCGAAATCCACGGCATTAAATCGCGACAACTGTTCTCTCCGACTCGAGCGAGATGTCCTCTTCATGTTTTCAGCCTAATTATGCCGAATCGATCGGTGTGATAAAAAATATATGATTCCATTGAAAAAAAAGGAAAAGAACAAACAAAATTCGCCTTCATACGCCCTCGACGCGTTCACCTGGAAAAGTTTAATTAATATCAGATTACGTGCCCTCTGAAATCATTCAAATTTCGTCTGAAGTCTATAGTATAATTATATGTTATTACTATACTATATGCTATTATTAGTGTAATTATATATTATTATTAATTATACCCCGTGCAATTATACGGGGTGACTCATTTAAATCGATCCGGTCGAACATCGTCGAAACCGACGATGATACGAAAAAATGTTTCAGACGAAATTTGAACGGTTTTAGGGGTCGCGTAATCTGATATTTGATTAGATTTTTCTAGGCGAACGCGTCGAGAACGTACGAAGGCGAAATTTTTCTTTTTAATGCAATCATATATTTTTCATTACACTGGTCGATTCAGCTCGTCGTTCTCTTCATAAAACTGCTGAGGCAGTTGTTGCGAGAAATCATTGGTTTAGAAGATATTTGGATTTTCATTTTATAAGGCTCTTAAACGATCGTATCACCTCTTCCCAAATTGTCCATTTTTGTTTACAAGCTGAGGGACAATTGGAGAGAATTCGCTGTACCTATTTTATTAATGGACAGTGGTGTGAGTAATTACAGACTCGAAGTAACTTTTTTTTAACGATATTTAAACAAAATTTAACAAAACACCACACACTTGTGTATATTTCTATATTAAAAATAATAGAAATTAGAGAAATATACAAATATAGCTTTCTCTCTGGTTTTTGTTTCAATATCAGTAAAAATGTAGAAGTTACTTTAAGTTTTATTTAAGGCTCGAAAAATCGTATCTCCACTTCCCAAATTGTCCATTTTTGTGCACGATCTGAGCGCCAATTAGGGAGACTTTACTGTATATCCCCTACTCAAATGTACATGGATACTTCTTCCCATTCTGATATTTCATTAATACAAATACGAAATCGTCGAGTTTAATTAAATTTAGCGTGATCTAGTTCATGAGCTACTATAGAGACCATATTTTAATAATAGTTCGTTATCTTATTACTATCTCATCGATAGAGTAATCGAGAATAATTATAACTTCTGCTCATCTACAAATGCAATCGCATGCATTCATAATCCATGACATTTTCGTTATTAATTTTTCATTGGTTCCCTATCGATAGGGTTCTTCCGCGGTTCTATATATGCGATGACGATGACGGAGACGAGGAAGAGGGAGGGAAGGACCGTTTCGTTCTGGGTCTGCTAGAGAACACGTCAGTAAGGCTATCTGGTTGGATATCACAAGGTTCAGGACGGTATAATATCTGGATCGGTGACGGATCAGGTATACAATAGTAGCGGGAAAGGCAGCCGAGCGAGCCATTCCGATTGTAAAACGAAAGCAGCGAGCCTTACAGATCGTCTGTATGCATTAGATTAGAAAATATAATGCAGTTATAAACCCGGCGGATAAACTTTTGACGGTTCAAGAGATGTTAATAATTAAATTGTATAATTCTACGCGGTTAGAATGAAGTAATCCTACATTAGGATTTCTGGAATGTACTGCGGTTTTCGCAGGATCGGTTCAAGGATGTGATATTCACAAGATATAGAACTTTATCGAGACGTTTGGTGCAGCGTCGGTCACACATGGGTGACGCTAATTTTTAATACATTGAGAAATTTTAATATATAATGCTAATTTTATATATGTATAATATATAATATATACCGAACGAACTGAATGTTAATAAGATTTTTAGGATACAAAAGAGTTAAACTAATATTTTGTATGAGAAATTTTAGTGTTCTAGTTTCGGCTGCACTAATTAAATGACTTTGATATTCTGGGAATTTCTGGGTTGATTTTAGGTACTTCACGTGCTGGACGAGATAATCTCCATTTCGTTCGGAGGAACCTTTTGCCATCCACCACGTAACCGAAGAATTGCTCTTTCGTGGAAATTTCATCGTTTGTTTATTCATTTTTGTTTCTTCTTCTTCTTTTGTTTACTAGAAAACTGTCGTACCGTTATCACCACAATTAGAATGGCAATTTTTTAGAAGGGAAAGAAAATTTATATTTATGGTATGCCCACGTTTACTTGTACGCTTAAATATTGATGGAAAGGGAACGAAATTTGATTTCGACTTGATAGGACGGAACAACATTCATACTTAACAGATTGTTACTAGAAATCCGATCACGATACTATACATAGTTTTTTCATAATAATTACTTCTATTTTGTTATTCGTTCGTTCTAGTTCATCTTGGTCACCAACTATTCAAAACATCTTGTTCGCGAATATATTCTAGTTTTCACTAAAATTACAACTTAGTCAGCAAATTTTTTAAGCACGACGATAGTGCTCGTAGTGGCACAAAATATTGGCGTCTCTTCGTGACGAGTATACTCGTCGAAAACGGCTGACTGCGAATTTGATGAATTTATGGCAAAATTGAATAGCTAAAATATAATATTATATATATATATATTTATAATAAATAAATATAATAAATATAATATAAATATATAATATATAATATAATATAATATAATATATAATATAATATATTGTTACACCATTTTCAATTTATCAGAATTATTAAGAGAAACAATTTATTTGTACATAATTTCTGTACCTCGCAATCGTCTTATTATTATATTTAAAAAATATCGTAAAAGTGATATGACAGTGTCCTCGTATTTTTTAGGGGTGGCGTACGTCCGCACACTTTCCACGTTACATCGGGACGATCGGAACGGTTCATCGGTAGTATTCCTAGAGATTTCCGGCGGTGAACGAAAGTCGGAACTAGCGACGGGCGATGGGTGTCGATCGTAGGTGCGAAGCGCGACAAGTTCGGCGATGAATCCGAGGTGCAATTCGGGTGTCGGGTGGTACGTGTAATTCCGAAG